GTATATATATAATGCAAAATACAGAATTAAGCTATTTCTTAAAATAAATAAAATCTTGAATAAACAGCTTAAGAAGTAATTTTATCTCACATAAAGCTAATACATAATTCTCATAATTCTCGGAACAAATGAAACAAAAAAAGAACAATGGAAGAGTTTTCACAGGTTAACATGTGCCTGTGCAGTGAACATGGGAATACAGTATCCATATGGCACACTGTACATGTGCAGCATAGAAACAGCAGGGAAGGAGGGCTGCTGAAGCCTGTCGTGTGCTCCAGGGCATCACTGACATGAGTGTCACCGCCATGAAGGAGCGTGAAAGCTGCTCCCTCTGCACACAAATCCTTCGCTGCTCAGATTTTCCTTTTTGTTTTTGCTGCAGAACAGAAGAACTAACGCTCAGGCTTTTGTCATCTGCCATGCGCTCCGTTAAACATCCGTGAATATCAAAAGCAGGCAGAAGTTTTAGTCAGACTTGACAAAGAAAAAGAAAAAAAAATCCAGCAGAATCTGAGTTTTCAAATTTAGCAGGAAGAGGGTTTAATTAATAACAGTTCATGCATGTCTGATGGCGTGAGAAAAGGTGCTGATGGGTTCTCAGTGGAATCAGCTGCAAATGGAACATGAGCAACGAGAAGTTTGTGATTTCTAAATATTAAACTGTAAATTCTGCCTAAAATCTTTTTACTTCAGAAAATATTGGGGATATTTTTGGAGCTGCAGAAACTTCTCTGACTTTGCCTGACTCCAGAAAACTCCAGGTAAAGAAACTCATCACCCTTTTTGACAATAAATTTTCCTCAGTTTAAATGTCTCTAATTGGATAAATATTTGTCCCAGCTGAAACTCCATGTAGTCCCTTATTTAAAGAGCTGACTCAGTGGAACGGTTGCTGTTGACGTGGGCGGGTGTCGAGGGTAAAATAACTCCCTCGTCTCAAAGCTCTGCTCTTTTGTGCCGCACGCTCACGATGAACTTTGTGAGGGAAAGATGCTTCTTCTGGAAAATCAACATCAGACGAACGTGTTCGTGTGCTTCTCACCGTCAGCAAAGATGTCGAGCGAAACCGTGAGTCGCAACTAACACACTCAATGAAACATAGTTAGAAATATGAATTATTTTGCTTTATTTTGAGCAAGGCACCACTTTATTCAAGATGACACTTTTTTCTGGACAAAATGTAATGTTAATAAAGTCTTTAAAAATAATTAATTACACACAAATTACATAAATGTTGCAATATTTTTCAGACTTTTTCTCCATTTGATTTTTATAGCAAATGATCCTTTTCTTGCTCCTCTGACTGCAGGAGGGTTTGGGTGTTACTGAACAATGCTTCTCTCTGTGCCAAAATTGTAGTAAAACTGTGGAGAGAAACAGAAGAGGATGTTAACAAATTGATTAATAGGAAATATCCACCCCCCTCCAAAGAAAAGCAAAATAAAAATAAATAAACATCAAGGCCTTACAACACATACACACACATACAAAGCCGGACAAGCATCAAATAATTGAAAATATAAAATAATTTGAACACAATGCAATTTAATTAATAATTAAAATGTAATGACCGAACAATATTTATCAAAATTGAGGCAGGAAACCCGGAGCAGGTAAAGTGATTAAAGGAAGACTGAGGTAAAGTATAGATGCACTGCCCTCTTGTGGTGCATCACGGGTATGACTAATACATGGACACTAGGAAATGGATAAATCTGGTCCTTTTGCATTTCGTTTGTTTAAATGAAGAACTAGTATCACTGGGTGGATATTAGAGGTAGACATTAAAAAACAGTTTATATATATATATGAATAACTGGGTTTTATTAAGTTTTATTTTATTACGTAATACTTTTTTGTTTTTTTTCTTGTCACTATAGTAGTTCTGTTTAATTGACATTTAAAAAGAAACTGACACTGAATACAGAATTGGACACATTTCTTGCTGTGTGAAGATATGACACTTTAGTTATTTGTTTAAAATAAACTAATAGGAATGATTCTCCCATCAGTGATGTAATACAGACTGTATTTATTCATGTATAATACTAGAAATTTAACCCTAAAAATCAGCCATAAAGTAGGAGGGTAGTATGATACACGGGTTATTGGTGATTAGCTTTTTATGCTTTTTAAGCAAAAAAATGATGATAGTATTATAATCGAGATCGTATTATACATGAATAAATACGGTAATTACTTCTCATTGTGGCATTGTTCTATGGCTTTGAGCTACCTGCCATAAATTATCAATGAGACTTCACTGCAGACATCATGCACACTGTTAAACAGTTTAAATCTTAAGATATGATCTGGTAACAGCTTTTAAAGTGTTAAAGTTAATCTAATGATGATTTAAGATTTTAGTGGCTTCCATGACAAATTCATTCTAACTTAAAACTCAATGTAATCTCTGGGTTAATCCTAATATTAAGAAATTGTGAGAAGAAAGTTTTTTTTTTTCAGAGAACTGTAAAACAAATAATCCTGATGAAGCAGTTTAGTTTGAGTGGATGTGTATGTGGCAGCTTGTTTGTCGGTGTGATGCTCAGACTTTGTGTTGAAGTGGCTGAAAGGTGTGAGAGTAATATTTTGAAAATGTGAACTGAACTGGTTTGAGGCAGGTGGTGTTATGGGGGTTCACTGTCACTATTTCTTCTGTTGCCGCATTGGAAAAAGTATTTAATCAAAAATAAAATCAGAAAAGTCGCTCTTGTTTGCAGTCATCAATTTGCCAAACTAAATGAAACCTGCATCTTTTTTTCTTGTGGCCCCTGCATCCACTAGCTGAATATGTACCATTGCAGCCAGCAGCAGCGCTCGCTGCAGGTTCAACAGTTGTACTACTGATCCACGGCACTAGGTGATGCTCTATGATCACCGAAGCAAGTTTTCAACTCTGCAAAAAAAGCATCTGAGCCACAATAGCTGAAAATTTGAAATCGGGTGCTCTTGGTGGAAGGAAAAAAAAAAAGCCCTTCATCATCTACTTGTGGTGAAGCTACGAGTTACCCAAACTGTCACATATCACAAGCCTATTATTTGTGAAAGAATTCAGCCCCCACCACCACACAAAAATCAGTCTCAGCATCTCGCACAGTAAATAAATATACCATTGTGTGTGTGTGTGTGTGTGTGTGTGTGTGTGTGTGTGTGTGTGTGTGTGTG